GCTTTGTCTGAGTAACATGAAGGACAAGTTAAGGATTTTACTTGTATCCTTGTTGATATTCATCTAAGTATGCACTAAACAATTAAGTTTACTTACACTATTTTCACGATCAACAACAGATTATTTTTCTGTGACCCACATATATACATTTAGTTGTTTTTTTTTTTTATTACAAATGTAAATAAAAGAAGCAATACCACACCACAAACATCTACATTTCATTAAATACGCTAACACCAGTAGTTTGATTTATTCTAAAAAGTTAAATGTTTATTCTTGACATTTCCTGTTATTCTCAAAATGGTATCTCATTTTTTGTTCTTATGCCTGGCCCAAACACTCTTCTGTACTAAACCCAATGCACACTGTCATATTAGTTTCTTATCACGGGACAGCAATGTATCTTAGTAAGAATTGGTTAAGTACTGCAGTAGAAGAAATATTGAGATCTCTGCTGATTTTATGCAGAAAAGCTTGATTTCAAGTATTGGCTACGCAAATGCATCAATGCCAGTGGTGTTAAGTCCACAGTAAAATCCCATTACTAAAACAGGTAATGGAAATTCACATGATCAACGCTCGCTTAGGGGCAGGGGGGGCTGCAAAAATTCCTTCTCCCAGGCCCATTATGAGCCAGCCCTGCCAGTGCTGGCCACAGAGACAGACAGAGGAGGCCGGGATTGTCACAGACAGAGCAGGGATTGTGTATTGCTGATCTGTCACCTAACTGCAGCGACAGAATGCAGTCAGTAGGCCGTAATTATTGTTTGTAGACCCGTGTTTGCCACTGCCATAGTTTAGGCCAAATAGCTCCCATTCTTGGCAATATTTGGAATTTATCGTTTTGTCTCTTTTGTTTTTGTTGCTGAGGTTCCTTTTTCTCTCCAAAGCAACCACACTGCAGCGGAGATCATTAAAAAGAATGTACAACAGGACTAGAAGAAGAAACAAATAAGAGTCAACATTAGTCAGAGAGCCAGTCAGCATATAAAGGCATGGGGCAACAGATAAGTTAGATCTTGCTTTCTGGGGTGTCATCGCTTCAAAACCGCAGGGACTGGACAGCAAAAAGGCATCCTTTGTTTCACCTCCCGTGATGGTGAATCACCGACCCGCGCGCCCGGTAGCCATAGCAATCGGCCCAACATTATTTGCCAGAGTTGAAACCAAGACCGAGATAGATTCAGGAGCTGTCCTGTTCACCGAGTTATACTGATTATAATGTTGCACAATGAGTGTTTGTAGTGTGCAGGTTGCAACAGTGTGTCCTTGTCTTGTATTAAGTTACTTTTTTGTTTTGCTTGCTTTGGGTTTTTTTGGTCTGATAAATTGTCTGGCTTCTTTGTGGGTCATGACATGGCAGATTTAGTGCAGCACCATGTCTTTGTTGCTCCTCAGTGAATGCATCAGACTGAAGTAAATCTAAATGTGAAAAGGTCTATGCCAGGGGGCCCACAATTAATTTTTGTCACATATGTGCGTGATTTTATGCATCTATAAATTATTAGCAGTTCCACCAAAGACACATTTGCCCTCTTAACTTCTCTTTATTGAAATAACTTTTTGAGGCCCAAAGAGGTGAATCTCACAATGTTTTCACAATAAAGTGAAGAATCAATCCAACAACCAAAAAATTAATACAGATTTGCGTAATCATCTCACAATCCCTCAGATGTTTCTTGTGAGCCTTTGTAGGAGCCCGACCTGGGAACCACTGGATTATCTGGAAACTACCTAAATGTATGTAAAGTAGTTCAAACTAGCTCCACCTTGACCAGCTACACCAGGAAAAGGCTGCCTGTGCATTGATGCATCAGTATGAGAAAACTTTAAGTACATTTTGCTGATATGTACCTTTACTAAAGAAGGACAGCTTATCACTTACTTGTAATAGATTACTTTTAGATGCTTGAGTAAGTATGTAAAGGAACTTGATACTTCATCTACCTGGTTAGTGTGAGGAATTTTCTTTCCTCCATCTGCCGTGGTTAAGTTTTTCAGTGGTCAACAAAATGAACAGAGGACCAGCGTTCACTTCAGGGGGAATGGAGCTTTTACACTGGATACCTTTCGGCCATAGTAACAACAGAGGAATTAGACTGCTGGGGCTATTTCCCAAATCTCCATAGCGACTGACAAAACCCTTGGAAAGTTTCCAGGAATGGCCACTTTGTAAAGACCCCGCTCCCACTCTCTTTGTCTCCTTCCTTCTTTGTCTCCCTCTGCATGTGCGTGTTTGGGTCAGGGACCAGGAGGGGAAACTGGCAAAGAATAACTTCCCAGCATTTGCCTCTGTCATTAGCACAAACACATCATGTATAATTTGTCAAGTATACAGCCTCAAATTATCAAATGGATTATCCCCAGCCAAAAACAAAGCATACTCGTTTCAAGGATAATGTCCTCTAGTCACACATATTTCAAGCCAGTCCTTCATTAGGTGTCACTTACATATGCCTGACTGCATCAGGGGGCATCACCTAGACCGACCGACAGCTGCAGATGACTCCTCTGTGCACTCACCTGCATCAGGATGAGTGGATAAGAGTGAGACAAACCCTTCAAGTGTGAAGAAAATAGATCCTTATGATACCTATTAATACCTCGCCATTACAATGTAGTTTAAACAGTCAGAATAGTATTGATGTAAACCATCTGTTTTGACACCTTGACATGATCATTTAAACAGATTTGAGAGAAACCTCCAGTGAGTAGTGGCTGGGCTGGAGTTGAAGCAGGAACAGCATATCGTAAGCCCCCGGGCTCATTCAGGATTCACATGCTTCTCTTAGATAATATCCTTAAAATATCCGAAAGTCAGAAGTCACCACAGGCCAGAGATCATTATGAATGGGATTATTGCCACCAGTGTGTATCTCACCCCAAATGTAATTTCTAGGACACGGAAGATAACTGATTTCTTTTTGTGAATTGGAAAAAAAAAGGCTTTTAAAAAAGAAAACACTATTGACATTATCATCACGCTAATAGTAGAGCGAACTAGCAAACAGTTGATTATGTACACATTCAGCAGATAGGGATCAACAATAGCAAATATTTGGATGTGTTTTTGTCCAATATTCATTCTCTTTCAGCTCAGTAACTCCTGAGGGAGATTTTGTCACAGACTACAAGACACACCTACATTAGAGGGCCAATGATGTAGCTAACATCCGGGTCACAGGGGTAACCCTTATTGTCTCTAAGAGATAATTAGCTAAGTTAACTGGGGATGTTTTATAACCCCAGTAGGACATTTAAAAACACTTACCAGTGCCAATGGTATTTACAGCATCCTCAAAATCTAATTATGAAAGATTTTTCCAAATCGCGACTCTGCATAGGCCCAATCCCAATGTCCCCCCTAAAGCCTCAAATCCTGAACCCTCAAGGATTTACTGACATCACCTGGTAAGTGGTTGTGTGTGAGAGACTGTGAGGGCTTGAAATGGTGTAAATAGGAATGGGACAGCACTTTGCTGCAACATATCACGTTACCATCAAAACAACAAAAAATCTGATGTATAATTGTAGGTATTTATTTTATACTTTGTACTCCCTGATTTCAATGTCTTCCTGGCTCTTTCCTCACAAGATGAGAGGTAATTTCATATAATTTATTTACTTGTTTTTGTCAAAACAGCTTCAAGGACAAAATCAAAATATTTGATGAATAAATAAATAAATATCTTCTGATTTCATGTTTTTTTTTTGTTCCAGCTTTAACCCTTAATGTTTCAGAGTAAATTTAATAAGACAGGCTGAACACACGGGAGCCGTCCTCTTTGTTTACCTTTTTTTACTGCTCCATGCCTCCACTGGTTACCCCGTGTTTAACGTCACATTGCAATGATTTGTGGGTAATTCCCTTGGGCAAAGTCAGCATCATAAAGGGCTCAAAATGTCTGCGAGAGAGCCCTCAAACACTCGATGATTTGACAGTCCGTGAGTCCGTAAGGGTGGAGATTGGGATTGGGCCATACTTCTCAGGTAGCTGTAGGACCGCCATCTTTGTTTTGATTGGGGAACAGAGGTACAACTTGGGAAACAGGTAAAAAAAAAACTTTATTATCATTCTGCGGACGGAATGTTTTTTCTTTCGGGTGGTAAGAGGAGTTTTTTTATAATTCTGGAAATACCTTCAGAGCAAAAGTAAGTGACCCAGATTAACTATTTAATCTATTTATAGGTTAGTTCTTAAATTGCTAAATGCTCCTTCACTATTTATACAGTAAAGGAAACTCAGAAGAAACAGAAGAACAGTTTTGATGTTAAAAAGTGCAAGCACAAATCGTAATTACATAAATCTGATCCTGAAATTTGACTTAGCACATAAAGGTGCACTTGACTTAATTGTTTTTAGACTTTGATGTGTTTACCAGTCATGTAGTACTTATCAGCTTGTCCAAACCATTGTGTTATGTCCTCTAGCTCTGGAAAGAGTTTTGAAAAAACCTGATGATGTCTTGTAACAGAAAACATGTGACTTGGGGAGTTGAGTTGGAGAGAAGCAGTATGACAACTACAAACGCCATACAAACAAAATGATTCATGGTTTATTGAATATTGAATCAAAATTCTTACAGCCAAAAACAACATTCTGTCAGAGGCTACTTTATAAATAATTTAAGTTTTCACAGAATAATCAGTACTCAATTGACATACAGAGAGTAGTCTTTTGTTAAACCCTGAGAGCATCCACAGATGTCTTTGGAAATAGTAATCACCAAAAATACATTTCGCATTCCGGTTGAACCCGAACAAGCAATAAAATCTTTCCTTGGCAGTCATTTCGATGATGTATTACATTATAATACAGTGAGTCTGCAGTCAGGAGCATTAAATCAGTCACCAAAAAGTTGTACTTATCTGCGTATACTGTTATATTCCATTTTTGACTTTATCTTGCGATGGGTCTCCTCAGCCACCATCAAACAGACAGCAAGTTAATGTGTGTATTTGTACATTTGTGACCACATTCAAGCAGAAATAAGAGGCACAACTCTCTTCAATCACCACACGTCTGGTCTGGTGCCGCAAGAAATGTTTTTTGTTCATGATGTATGTGACGAAACAACACATTTTTAGCTGCATTACAACAAAATAACCATAGACAAGACTAAAAGCACACGCAGGACCAGCACGTGTGCATATTTCCGGGAAATACATGCCCTGATTTTATAGTATGGGACAGTATTGGCCACATCTCACATGGAGCGTATCGCGAGAGTCTTGTGCTTGCAGGACACCCCCTCCTCCACTAGGTGTCCATCTTGCCCTTGTCACAGCTGAGGACTCCCCCTCAGGATGCACTTTTCTGTCTGACACTTTAAACTCAACTGATGCAAAGGAAGACAGACTACCATTTCTATTTGCCCAGGTTTTGGAAGTATCAATTGTAGGTGACACCCTGAAGCCTCTCCCTCTGACACTGCGTGCATCCATTTTCCCACTTTTGACACTGGAATCATCCAAAAAGGGGTCTGAATCGCTCCCATGTGGCATGTTATAGTAGGTGCACTTTGGAGTTTGAGGCTTCGCCATTTCCTCAATCTCTGATGAGGATATGGCCGCGAGGGGGTTGTGCTGGGCGTTGCAATGAGACGGGGAATCCTCGCTAGTATCTACAGATGTGCTATCTAACTGATCGTACATTCCTAGGGAGACTGGAGGAGATTTTCTGATGAGGTGATTCTCCTTGAGCAGCCATCTACCTTGGTCGATTAGTACCCCATCAGGTGAGTCTTTTTCCGGGGTGCAAGGAAAGCACTGTGTGGCCTCTGTGGCAGGATCGGTGTCTGCCTTTTGTGAGCTAGCGGCACTGAAGTAAGACAGATCCTCCTTTGAGGCTTTAGTGCCCAAGTCGTGAGAAGAAAAACTCCCTCCACTTTTTAGTCGGGAATTTTGCAAGACTTCCGCATTGCTTGCATCCGACGGTTTGGAGTCGGCTCGCTCCACATTTGTTCTCCCGATAGGGATGTCGGCCTCTTCTCCGCTCTCTGAGATAATATCTACAGACTCCTGAGTTTTATATCCACCACTCTCCGATGTCTCTGGCCTGTAATCGGACAAACCTGAGGTGCTTGGGCTCGGGAGACGCTTCAAACCGTAGGAATTATCCTTTCTATGTTTTGGAATGACAGATTGTTTTTTTTGTGTAACCCGGGCGCTATCTGGCTCTATCCTGACGTTCCCCCGAGCGTCATATGTGAATATGAGTGAAGAGGACTGCAGGGCAGAGTTAACAAAGTCAAGTAACTCCTGTGATATTTCCACAGGATGTTGTAGAGTGCCGCTTCCTTCCTCGTGAGGCTCCCCTCCGTCGTCTGTTTCAAATTCATTTACAGTGTCTGTCCCATTGTCTTTATCGTCCTCACACTGACAGTCGGAGGAATATTTGTTTGGTGATTCAGTGTTGTGTTCTGCTACCTTTGCGTCTGCATTTGCTTCGTCACAGCTGCTCTGCTGCTGCAAATACGAGGCCTCCTCGAGTAGGTTTTTACAAACCGTACCACCGGCAATACTGTCGGCATCTTCAGAGGCATTTTCTTCCTCTTCCTCGTCCTTTGATTCTTGCTCTTCCGTCTCGTCTAACCCCTCATTTAACTCATTATTTTCATTTTCTTCATCATCTTCCCTCTCCTTGTCATCTAACATTTGCCATGCTTTTACATTTTCTTCAATTTTCTCTACAACTTCTTTCTCTCCTACTGATTCTTCCTCAAGACTATCTACTGTTTCCTCCGGCTCTTTCCTGCTCTCCTCACTCTTCCTCCTCACCACCCGATCTTCTGTATTTATAACCTCAACATCCTCACCATCCTCCACCACCTCTTGTTCTCTCTCTTCTTCCTCCTCATCATTTTCCTCAATAACCTCCCGCTCTACATGTTTCTCAGTAACTGCATCTGTGTCATCCTCCTCCTCTTCCTCCTCCTGAATCTCTTCAATTATATTTTCTACATCCTCTTCCTCATCTTTCTCCTCAATACCTTCCTTCATTTCTGCTTCCTCATTATTTTCCTCCTCAATACCGTTCTCTGCTTCCTCCTCAACATCTTCTTCTCCTTCCTCCTCCTCCTCCTCCTCCTCCTCCTCTACTTCTTCAATAATATATCCTACACCCTCTCCATCTGTCTCCCCCATAGCCTCATCTGCTTCCTCTTCCTCGTCCACTTCTTTAATATTCCCTACTTCCTCTCCTTCATCTGTCTCCCCAATAAAGTCATCTGCTTCGTCCTCTTCGCCCTCCTTAACTTCTTCAATTATATTTTCTTCTTCCTCTCCTTCATCGGATTCCCCAATAACCTCACCTGCCTCTTCGTCAGTCTTGTCCCCTTGCCTCTTCTCCTCCTCACTCTTTTCCCCCTCATCAGCCTCCTCCTCCCCTTCCTCAGTCTCTTCAACACTAGCATCCTCTCTTGCTTCTTGAACTGCTTCATCCATTAATACCTCCTCTGCTTCTTCTAGTTTCTCCCCATCTTCCTCCTCATCCACTGTCATCTCTTCCTCTGTTCCTTCCTCCACTTCTTGGACAGAGTCTTCATCCTCCACACTTCCTTTTTCCGCTTCCCATTCCTTCTGCGATTCCTTGTCATTCACTTCCTCCCTTTCTCGCTTTTCAGTTTCTTCACCATCACCGTCTATCTCTTTTGTATGTCCATCCTCTCTGTCATTCTCCACTTCCCTAACCTCGTCGACTTGTTCCTCTTCTTCCTTGTCATGTTCTTTGTCTGTTAAGGTCTCATCTCTGTCTGTCTGGGATATTTCTGGTTCTTTATAAGGTTCCTGGTCTGACTCAGAATACACAGATTGCATTTTCTCTGATTTATCTACCTCTCCATTGTCATTACCCGGTTTGGTCTGAGTAATGTCCTCAGCTATGGAGGTAATATTAAGCTCCGGTGATTGTTTTGTTGCATTGTTGCATTCTTCAATAAATTGTTCCACATCGTCCTCTGAGTCCGACTGGTATCTTTCGGTTTCTACAAAAGTGCTCTCCTCTACAGGGTAAAAACATTTAGCTTGATGGATCGTTGAAGAAATCTCTGCTCTGAGGTCTTGCGGCATATTCAGCTCATCCATCAGCTCTTCAATATTCTCGAATGCATCGCCCCCTTCGGAGAGAACATCGAGGGCAAATTCTGTATCTGAAAATTTGGAGGACAGCGGCTCACTTTCGAGCCGTTCTCTCAGATTCTGGAAATCCTTCCAGCGTTCTCTGAACTGGGAAGACGCTCTACTCTGCAGATCGGTCAAACTTGCCCTCAGCTCTTGCTCGTCCTCGATGGCAGAAATTTTCTGCAGGGATTCCATCATCAGCATGGCCTCGGATTCGTTGTCGTCTTCCAGCGCAGATCCGGTTAGGTTATCTCGCAGAGTCACCACCGACAAGAATGACACGAAGGCTTTACACGACGAGCCGAACACTGACGCCACTTGTGTGGAGAAATCAGGAAGGCTGTTGGACTTCTCGAGGTTGGATGTTGTGTTGGCTTCACATGCACTTCTGATACAGTGAATAGATGAATACAGTTTATGCAGGACATGTTTTGTATTTGCTTTTGGGTCTAAAAGGTTGGCTGTAGATGAAGACGATCCACTGTCAGCCGGACCAATGGCCTCTGCAGATTTGTGTGTCCTCAGTCTGTCTTCCTGTTGCCCAGGATCGACTCTGACACTCGGCATTGAAACACACAAACCTTTCACGTATTGTTCATTGTGCAACAAAGCTGTAGCTTCACGACAATGAGCTACTGAAGCTGATTTCTTTATAGCATCACCGGGAGATAGGTAGCACTCGTCTGGATGAGTCTGGCATTCACTCTTTTCATCTGATTCGGAATCATCGCCAAGCTTAAACACAACCTTTGTTGGAGGCTGTGATTTATCTGTGATGGCCTCCTCAGTGTGTGGCACTGGGTCTGGGCTGACTTTCTCCAACCAGTTCTCAACATATTGGTGGATTTCAGAGGGGGAAGGATTGAGAGAAGGCATCGAACTCTCACTTAACTCTAAAGACCTTTTCGGTGATGGTATTCTGCTTTCAGTCATGGATTTGGGCTTGCTAATTGTCTTTTTGTCTGGCAAGAGGGATTTCTTGGGTTGTAAAATGTCTGACAGGTTCTTCTTCATTTGAGGCCTCCCAGATGGAGTGTTTACATTATGGCCATTATATTTAGCAGCTGGTTTACTCATGTTTAGAGGTGGGGTCCTTCTCACATTTAATAAGGCTTGCTCTTTCCTGGGCATCTTTTCATCCTTAATCGCCTTCTTAATTTGAGGCTTTTCTGCTCCTCTACTCTTTTGACCACTTTTAGCACTTTCCGATGAACTTAAAGTCTTTTTTCCCACACTGGCATTGCTGCTGAGCTTGTCTGTAGATGAAGGTTTGCTATTTTTGGGGGGGCTAACTATGCTTTGTTTTTGCTTTTTATCTGAGCTGCTCGTTGAACTTAAACCCTCCTTATTCCGAGCTGGTTTAATTGTCTTTTTCTTCGTCTCACTTTTAGGAGTTTTGTCTTTTTTTGTTGTCTCCTGTATTTGGGAGTTTGTTGCAGTAATCTCATAAGTTGGAGTTACTGGCTCTGATGACAATGACAACATCTCCTCTTTCTGTCTTTGTTGTGAGTGAGTGGTGGGTGGCTGCCAGCTAACATCTATATCACAATCATTCCTGGATGAACGCTGCCCTGATTCAGTGGACGGTTTGCTTTCTGCCGCTGGAGTGGAACCCTGCTGGGGTACACTGTCTGCGCTGTATTCCTCATTTGCAAAATAGTTGTCGTAGCAGCCTTGACTCTCATAAATATGCATCACAGTTTCTGTCACCTCCATCCCGTTATTCTCTATCTGAAGAACCTCAGCTACTCCCGACGATGTGGCAGAGGAGTTGGAGCCTTTGTTGATCTCCCCTGCAGACATTGTTTTCCTAGGTTTGGGGATCGGCCTGTTGCTGCTGCTGTGTCTGACAATGCAGTATCCCTCAGTCTTCTCACCATCAGACGTCCTCTCCATGTAGGAATAATGTCCCAGGGTGCTCTCTTGAACCCTTGAGTCTGTCACCGTCTTCACACTCTCAACAGACGCCTTCTTCGTAACGTGGCGAGCGCCTGGTGTAGGTGTGCGTTTGAAACCAGTTTTTGATTTTCCCAAAGCTATGGATGTGTAGCCCTCATGTGCTTGCTGGTCCTGAAAGTCCACACCCTTTCCAAGTCCAGCGGGATGGTTCTCCTCTCTCGTCTCATCCTCACTGGAGCTAGAAGAGTTTTTGGCAATGGCGTTGTTTGAGTCAGGTGAGCTGTTGCCCGACTCAGAAATCGAGGCACAAACTGCCCCCTTGCTAAGGCTGGAGCGGCTGAGTGTGGTGGTCCAGTGGAGCATCTCCTCCTCTTTAATGGTCAGACGAACTTTCATCTCCACGGTCATGCTGCCGTCTTGATTCACACGGAAAGACTTTTCAATGTCATCGTCCTGAGGTACAATGGAAGCATGATGCTCATTGTCTACCCTCCCGGTCCCACACGTCTCCACGGATGCATGACGATGGTCGACCTCTGTTTCAAATGATCTGCTGTGGTGATGCAGGTGGCTGTCAGTGCTTCCATTTCTAGACTTGTTTATCTGGTTGACAATATATCTCTCTGATGATAAGGAAAAATTCCTTGAGCTTCTTCCACTCGACAAAGATTTGTTGTTCTCTTTGGTTGGAAGTGTTTGTGAAAGAGAGGAGGAGAGACAAAGAGAAAACAATAAAATCGTATGAACAATCGTAACAAAATATATGTATCTACTCAGTGAAAATGAAAATGTTCATCTGTAAAGTTTTCATTCTTTTTTTTGTGGTCCTTACATTTGCAAATACTGTCTATGCTGTTCTGGATAATAAGAGGACCACATGGACGTTTTACATTAAGATGTCAATTAACAGTAGTACTGACTACAACTTACCGGTTCTGGGCTGCAACATAGGTGGTTCCACAGTATCCACGTACATTACTTGTGCCATCTGGCTCGTTCCGTGAAAACTGTAGTTTCCTAATCTGAATGGCTCGTTGCCTGCTGCCACGACAACTCCAGTGCACAGGATAAGTCCTGCCAGACCATCGATCTAAAAGAGGAGCGGAAACCATTTTCATTACAGCAGGCACGTTAAATTAGGAACACTATCTATGCCTATGTGTATAATGAATTATAAACATACTTATAATCTGTTTATAGCACTGTATATCTATAGTTATAAGCACTCATAAATATTCAATATGCTTTCTAACAATAAGCACATTATAAAGCATATTATAATGACTAGGTATAATGATAAGGTCAAGTATCAAATACTTTATAATATAGATGCTGAAGAATTATAGTGTATACATAGAGTAGTGTGTGAATGTGTATTTATGTATTGTCACCATGTTAACTGTGTGGACCCCAGTAAGAAAAGCTGCTGAGATGCAAAAGTGAATGGGGATCTTACTTAAGAAACAAACAGGAAGTCTGTTCCTGTTGTTAAAGGACATATGGAAAGAGGGATTACGGAGCGATAACTCACTAGGAGGTAGAGGTTTTGATAGCCCCTCTTAGCACTTCTTGGAATACTTAAAATGTGGAAAGTAACAGGATTAAACCCTTGATTCCTAATTCCTGAAATATAAACTGCAGTGAAAATTGAGCCCATAACAGTTTATTTATTATATTTGGAAGGTTATATTTGGAATATAGTTTCACCCACTATTTCTTTGTTCAATAAAAGCTCAATCAGACGTACCATGATTATACAACCATAACAATTCTTGATGGCATCCAAATCTTGATGCTTTTATAGACTTAAAGACTGAAAACAAGAGTGAAAGCTCTGGGACAAGTGAGTAAGTGGACCTTTAGTAAAGATTGTTTTGTCAAGAACTGTCAAACTCAACTTTTAACGAGAATAATGGAAAGTTTGAACAGTTCCATGATAACTGCAGAAAACTGACCGTGTCAGTAGAAAGCTCTGGAGCTAGAGAGTAAGTGGAATGTTATGATGTCGGCTTGTGTCTGTTATAGCCTACAGCTTTCTGCAGCCTTTCAGACTTTAAGACTATCCTATTTGTGTAACACAGACATACCTTTGCGTAATACTTGTATGGTCTTAAGTATCCTTAAATAGAAAGTATATTCAAAGGCAACAACAGAGGTGCCATGGATTAAAATGGCATGGTGCTAATTGAAGTCACAAAAACATTTCATAGTTAAATACTCTAAGTGAAATGAAAAATATATTGTCCAAATTCTGACCTTGTATCCCTGTGTTACTTGGTCATTTATCTGTAAATATGTCAGACAATCATCACATTTTGATTTGTTTCTTTTGTATCAAAATCTGTGTGGTTTCCTGTAAAATGTAAAAAGATTTTTGGCGACTCATCTTAAACTCGGAGGTGGTTGCATAAATAATATTGAATCAAGTGTGATTTGGGGTTACTAGCTAACACTATAGTCGTCAGGTAGCTAGCAGAGTAAAGATCATATTAGAATGTGTGTTTGAATTTCAGCTGGCAAAGATTTTGTTCACATTTCCAAACAATATTGTCAAGGTCTAATTTATTCGTTTTGTTTCTCCCTCGCCCTCATCATTACAAAAAACATTTTTTTTTGTAGTTTAACAGCAGGTGGTGCAGGAGTATTTCTTATCCAGGCACAGTGACCTCCTGGGTTCTCCACTGTTTGCCTGTTTCTCGTCTTTATGCTAAGCTAAGCTAATGTACTGCTGGCGGCAGCTTTATGTTGAACTGACAAGTATGAGAGTGGTATCAATCTTCTCACCCAACTCTCTGCAAGAAAGCAATTTTACCCATTAAAACGTCTTATAGGCCAGATAAAGCTATCCCACTTTCACAAAGGAGGCTGCTCATGATATTTTTAGGAGTTGCTCTGAATCAGCATTTTTTCAGCTTCCCAAGTACTTACTCTTATGCCATCCGTAGAAAAGAGTTTCAGCACTGGGAACTGCAGGATCTGGGAGAGGTAATCCAGTAAAGCATCAAATGTTGGTGCCGTTCTTCTCTGGAGCACAATTGTGCGTTTAACAGTGGGATCCCTATTCCTGATGACAACAAGCCTCTTTGGTGTCCGTACTGCCGCCCTCTCCGTGATCTTTGCCGGCCTGCTGGTGATGACTTCATTCCTTCTGCCAAACGGACCAAACTGGGCTCCTTGTCGTCTCCGTCGCCCTGCGCTGAGGAGTCCGGCGGCATTCCACGGTACCTGCCGTCGGTTCACCTCATCCAGGTTTAATGGCTTCACCCGTTTGTGATCAGAACACACATACGATCCGCCATCGTGTAAGTCATCTAAAGCCTTAACCAGGTTGGTCCCGCGAGGTGTGGTGATGGTCCTCACTCCAAATGCCAGAGGCACTTTCTTGGCCAGAGCATCCAGTAGAGCGTCAAATGTCTTGAAGGTGCGGGCGTTGATGACCATGCGATGTCCACTGAACGTATAGTCTCCGCTTTTGTAGAAACATACTCTTTTAGAAGCGGTGGGATCAGAGATCGGCTGTAGGGGTCGGGAGGGTAATGTCTGCCCACTGCCTGAGGACAATTCCTCGGCAGGTGGCTCCTGGACGGGTGTGTTGCTCATCTTTTGTGGTGGTGGCTAGAAAGAAAGCAAAGAGACGGAGAAAGCTCATCATTTGGTACTGTAGTCATCATCAAATTATCCTACATTTTGCTTAAAGAGTGATACCTCACCAAAAGTTTTGAGTATCATGCAGATTTTGGAGCCTAGAGCATGTGTACATAGTAAACGACAACCATGCATGAGTTAAAGTTCATCCAGTTTGTACATTACTCCATTTTCTCTCTGATTTGATAAAGTCAACATGTGTTCTATTGTGTATTTTCAGCTTTTCCTTAAAATGCAGCACATTAAAACACTATCAAACATTATACATACACAAATGATTAATGGTCCTTAAAGATATATTATGCAGGATTTTTCTTAAAAAACAATGTATAGTCTCATACAAAAATAATCCCTCTCAATATGACCGTCTATAAATGTGTGCCAGTGTCCTGTCTCTACAGAGCCGCCTGTATGTTCTTATTTTCTTCTAATTCTGCTGTGTTCATGTGCTGGTTGTAAAGCCCTTTTACATTGACACTGCTTCTTGGCAAAATAAAAATGCACGCCAATTTATGTAATAATAAATGCTTCTCTACTGGTGTGGGACATGGTGCTATATCTAACAAAAGGGGCCTGAGAAAGCCTGCCCAAATACAGTACTAAACTCTTAACAATCATTCTATATTTATTTGGAGGGAGTCGTGTTTCCAAATGTAGTGATTTTTCAAAACAATGTTGACGAAAATGCCAAGATCCAGTTGAACACTGATGAAAGATTTTTCCATCATCTCAAAATGGAAAACCCACATGAGCACACACATCTTTTAGGAATAAAGTGAACTAGAGACATGCAAAACGCAGCTACACATTATTCTATTTTTACTAAAGAAATGCTGTCCTACTGTGTGTGGTCTGTAAATTATGTGGATCCACATGAACTTGTAAATGTAATCATTAAATGCACATTAATATTCTTAAGCTATATGCATACAGTACATATAGTTTTCTATGTAATATATATAACTGAATGTATTTTTTAGATTTATATTAATGCAATAATATATATATATACAGGTGTTGTTGACATTAGTGGCATAATACCAGTAGGTATATATACTGCATGGTAGAAAAGAGCATCATTTGTACATTAAGGGGATAAAACCTTGTATAAGAGCACAGAGCCTCTGTTGGTTAGCTTGTTTTAGAAGTTCAATAACTTGTATAGTAATCTACAGTAAAATGAAAATAGTCAATGTCTTTTTACAACAGGTTCTACATTATTTATGTTAAAATTGTTCCTGTGAACAACACAAGTCTAGATGTAGACCGATTTAGAAAGGGGTCATAAGAATCTGAAACATATAAACTAATTCAACTAATTACACCCTGTAGATACTTAAGAAATGAGCAAACATGTCAACAGAAATGAAATCAACAAGACTTACCGTATGTCTCACATTTCACCTGAATAATGGCGGCTAAAACAGCAGAAAGTGTGCCTCCGTTATTCCTCAGAGCGCTGGTCAAAGCCTGTCAGCTGCGTCGGAGGGCTATTTTGGGACATGTAACATCATGGCCAATTTGCTTAATCTTTGCTCACACTTAATCAGCATATCAAGATAACAAATGAAGTAAACAGACAAACTGTAGCACGGCGGACTGAAATTTTAACAGAATGATATTCAATCACAAATGGATGACAATATAGTTTTTTTTCTGAAAGATTTTATTTGGTCAGTTTTACACAATAGCAAATGTGTCTTCTACATCTCATTAAAAATAAGAAAATGATGTTCAAAAAGTCCTCTTTAATCATCATCCATAGATGTATCTCTTGTTATTTGTACTAAAATAGTAAGAGAGAAAGCTGAGTGAATACAGTCAAAGGATTAGTGAGCACCAGATTAATTGAAGAATAATGACGAAGGTGGTAAAGGTTCCTAAAGATATATGAACTCTCCACGTGAAATTGTATTAGTAAATCTTTACCACTCCAAACAGATACCACCGGCGGCTAGGACTCTTTCTCGTTTGCAAGCAGCCTACATAATCAGATTTGAGAAGTCTTGTCCTAATAGGGATTAGGTTAAATATGTTGCGCACTCGCTGACAGCATGAGGCAGAATAAGGTCTTAACAGAGCACTTCTACCCCACAGCAGGTCATGGAAATCCACCATCACATTTCAGAACACACAGTGAATCTGTTTTTGCACCTGTTGAATATCCTGGTGATTGTAATAAACAAGTAATGTGACCATAATTGTGTAAATACTGCAGCTTTGTATCCAAACTTGGAAGGCCAAAGCGGTATATCCAACGTCTGTACCTGTTGTTGACTTTTATTCAATGGCTAATGATTTAATTGCATCATGGGGTGAGAGCTGTGTCACTATACTGCAGTTACCAGACACTGTGCCAATTATAAACTGCCTCTTAAAGAGTAAAAGCTGCTAATACCTCCCACTAGCATGTGCACTGTCCTGGAAGATGGAGACTGTCTGGTCGGGGTTGACTGAAGGACAGGCCTGTTTAGGTAAAACAGAATCCAGAAGTTCCAACACATCATGTATTTAAAGTGGAGATATTCATAAAATGAAAGCTTCATAATACTTTCGTCAGTGTTTTACCAGCTCTTGTAAACTGATGAAACATGATGTGAATTTGGCACCATATTTTTATTTTACCTTTTTGTATACTGTATATTTTATTGACTATAATTAGCAGCACGTTGCATTTTTTAGTGAGTTCAATGATTCAAATAATTTGCAGTGATTGCCTAACATTTAATCACTAGGTGGCAATGTCACATGCTGATCTGTTTGGATTAGTAAGATCCAAAATAGCGACTCTCTCGGTGCCACATAACTGCAGTATAAGATCCAACCGTGTGCGATCATCGAGGCTTCGGTCACAGGTTTGATCTTCACAACAGCCGTGCCTTCATCTAAAGCCATAAGTCCCGTAAAAGGCCCTTAGCTCTTTCACTCACAGTTTATTACAATGAATAATACAGTTAATACTGTCAAATGCCCAAATGTCAAAAATATATACTTTAAGACCATGTACCTGCAACTGACTTATTCTTGTTAAATATTCTTTAAAAAAATCATTCAAACTCCAGGTAAAATAATCCGGTAATTAACAAGAAAAAAAGAGAAATATCAGAGGAATGTTTGAAGCATAGCCAACAATTATGTAAGGCATACTTCCTTATCCTTTTAATTGTTGTTGATTGTTAATTGTGATCCCTCAGATGTATCTTGTGAGCCCTTGTTTGTGACAAACCTGCTATGAATTATTATTTTCATTATCGATAAACACATCATGTAAACTGTCCAATAATTTAAAAAAAAGTGAAAATATTCCATCACAGTCCCAAACCCAAAGAAATTCCATTTAATACCATAAAGAAATAACATTTGAGGCATTTATGCCGAAAATAACTTGTAGCCATTTCATTTTCGGTCACTCGACTTATTGATTAATAAATATATCGTTTCAGCTCAGGACAGAACATTTAAACCTTCTCAGATGAACTATTTATAAAACATGAGACGACCCAAACATTTATTTGAGAACTTTGACAAACGTTTATAGCAACAAGAGTCCAAGCAGAGAAACAAGTGCCACTTTGGCGCCATCTATCGACGGATGGCGGTATTGCCAAAATGCAGGCCTTGTTTTGGTAGCCACAGGACAGCTGTTTGTACAGAACTAGAGGGAAATACTGAGGTATATCTGGGTATTCTTAGACAATGTGTCCCCTTTGGCATTGTCTGATAAATACGTGGTGGTGAATAGGCTACTTAATGCTCTGAATCGTGGGTTCCGAAACGATTATCTCCCCCTGAAGTCATCATGCATCGGCTACTCAGGTCTGCTCCACGGTGGAGGGTCAGTGTGAGGTCCCCGGTCCCTCAAGTAGACGCCGCCGCTCTCACTTCATTGGCGTGGTGTCTTTTGTCGCGGATTTCTTTTCCTATTTGCGCCCGTTTTATTGGGTATCTTTAGATCATTCAACATGGGCAAAAAGGAGGAAGAGGACATCATCAGAATAGCGAAGAAGATGGATAAAATGGCGCAGAAGAAAAACGGGGTGAGATGTCCCGAGAAGAATGGATGCTTCCCTCCAGCCTGCTGATGTTTATGTGTGGCTAACGTTGGCGCTAATGGGCTGTTTATGGGTTTAGCTGAAGGCTGTCCAGCTAATTAATCCTCTAACCAGTTCAGGACTGTACCAGTGTGTCATTTCACCAGTTAAATCCACGGTTACCCTAAACAATGAGCTCCACGGTGACTATACCTGCAGTTTGGCTAAATGGCTAACAGCTAGCTTTAAAGTCTGTTTATGTGAACGGCAGCTCTGTGTGTTGCTAGCAGCTAGCCACATAGCAGCTAGCCTTGTGCCCTGCAGCGCAATAACATGCTGGATGTTGTCATTTTAAGATAACCGAAATTAAGTAGTTAACGTCAGTTAGATATCGAGATATGATGTATAATTATACTCAATATTTCTGTTGTGTTTTGGGGACTTTGGAAAAGCTTGACGTTAACTTTTAGCCGCCAAGCTAATGTAATGTTACTAAGTTGCATGTACTGTAACGTTAATGGGGCCACAACTAATAAATACTTTCGTTATCGATTATTGCTCCGATTAAAATCGATCATTTGGTCACAGAACCCAAAGTGATATATTTAAATGTCTTCTTATGTCTAACCAAAAGTCCAAGAAAATGTTAAATTTGATATAATTTAAGTTCATTTGAGACCCTAGTAGAAGCTGATGTTATTAAATTGTGCTTGAAAATTCACCCTAACGATTAATCAGTTATCAAAACAGTCAATTGGCTACTCATCACCCCAAATACATTACTTTTATTTAAACCAAGAACAATAACTAGTTAACAACAATGTTGTCCAACTTGCATCTGAAGTATCGCTGTTACTAAATAGAACTCCGGTAGAATAATCTAGTATAACTTTACTGTGAGCTCAAGATTCATAAGAAACCAAATCTGACCACCCTCTCCCCTGCAGGCCGGGGCTTTGGACTTATTGAAGGAGCTGCGAAGTATCCCCATGACTCTGGAGCTGCTTCAGGTATCTTTGCTCATTCTTCTTGAGGCTCACCGTCAGTGCTCAAACCCTGAGACGTTGACACAGTGTCTTTCCACAGTCTACCAGAATCGGGATGTCCGTTAACGCCATCCGCAAGCAGAGCACAGACGACGAGGTCACATCCCTAGCCAAGGCCTTGATCAAATCATGGAAGAAGCTTTTGGGTAACTATTTGCTTTTCAATTCTACTTAAACACGTGCGAGTTGTGGTGTTACGTGTCATGTTTCTGGAGAGATCTTTTCATGTCCAAGCTGTTATGCTTGATCGTATCGGAGCCAATCGTACCAATATTTTTGGTCACTGATTGGCTTTATGAAGTCCAAGCCAATTTGGATCCTTTGCTTATTGTAACACATCGCGCTCTGGGTACACCAGCTGTCAAACGTGTCCTGTTGGAGTACCTTCAAATCCTTCGTATCTATTCTCAACCCACAGTGTTGTAAATGAGGTGTTCAGCAGCACATAGACATGGACAGCAGCCAGCACTTTCAGTGAAGACATCCACAATGGGTGGCATGCCTCAGCCATTTAAGTTTGAGTTATTGTGTAACATAGGAATAATATATCATGATATTGTTCGTATTTGATACCTTTATGAGATGTGTATGACCAAGATTTGTTTTTACTGTGTTTTCTTAATGTAGAGCTATTCAGCTGGCAAGCATACCGACGTATTGACACTCTTTATTTTAATGTAGGTCTTCGCTAGTGTCGCTCTCTTCTGTTGTTTTCTTACTTGCTTGATTTCTGCCACTTGTACTCCAGACGAGCCCGGCAGTGGAGACAAACCTTCAGATGAAAAGAGAAAAGAGCAAACGACGCCTGTTTCTCCCTCGCAGGGAAGCCCAGAAGCAAAAGAAGAAAGGTAACAAGAACATAATGTTGTTTTTTATGTACGTGTAGGAACATTTCTGAGGGTCGACACGTTTGTTTGTTTCTTGCCATTTGGCTGCAGATGCAATTTGTCTACTTTTTCATATATTTTTCTTGCTCCCAAAGCAGCTCGAGCAGTAACTCCAGCAGCAAGAGTGAGCCTGCTGACGTTTCAACCAACTCATTGATCAACACCTTTCCTCGTGCCCCCACCACCTCCGACTCTATCAGGGTCAAGTGCCGAGAGCTGCTAGCCCAAGCTCTACAAGCAGGAGGTAATCCTGTTCTTACAATAATGAGGACAACACATTTTCAACATAGGATGTCTGTTATTGTGGTTGGTTACTCTTGACTTTATTTAAAGGTACTGTCATTTCATGTCCATCCTCTGACTTTTCTTTTTTTTCAGATGATCATATTGCTATTGGTGCTGATTGTGATGAACTTGGAGCACAGATTGAGGAAGATATCCTTTATATTAAATGGAAAGCAGATGTTAAAGTTTTTAAATTCCTTCTATATTTATATTATAATAATTATAAAATTGTGCTGTGTCATTAAAAAGTGCACATCTACAGAATGAGGACCAGAGTTGAAGCGCTGACTAAAAGTCTGCTTTAGATAAGTACGTTTAAATATCTGGCCTTAGTGGGACTATTCCAGTCTTCCTGCTGTTCGTTTTCTGAAAGATTTTAAGATCAGATAATTGCTGTCAAGACAAGTCCAAATGAATGTTGAATGAAAAGACCCTCTGCTTAAAGCTGTACGTGGTATTGACATGATTCAAATTTCAATGCGTTTCTGTTCATCACGGTGAAATAGGTTTGAAGTATCTAGCTTGAAAAGTTTTTGAATATAAATGGTGCCAATGGCATCTAAGTGTACAAATGGTAGAAAGCATTATGCTGAAACAGTGTTACGATAAAGACGGGGTCCTTGGAAAACTGTTCCGCTTGTCAGCGGTTTCCTCTTTCCAAGGTAATGTCTCTGGACTTTAAATTGCTTGTTTTGTCTGACCACCAGTCTAAATCCCTAAAGTTAGTTAGGTTTTTATTGTCATATACACATATACGAAATTTGGCTTCTGCCTTTTACCCATCCCTAGCTTATTGGGAGCAGTGGGCTGCTGAGAAGCGCCCGGGGAGCAGTTAGGGGTTCAGTGTCTTGCTCAGGGACACTTCGGCACAGGACATGTAGCAGCCAAGGATCGAACCGGATCGAAAGTATTAAACAGAGAAAAATACACAATCCTCACAGGCTGCAAACAGAGAATGTGAGCATTTAAATTACCGAAATTCTGATGGATTCTAATTTAGTCAGTTAACTATTTCATCCATTAAATGTTTCAACACAAACGCACCTAAAAGTTCGGAGTTATTAATGTAGTTTAAGGCTCTACTTTTTATTATTTTTATTATGAAGCATAAAAACAAAAAATTGCCAAATTGTATTCCTTGACCTGCCATCACTTGTCTTTCAAGAGTTTAAGAACACAGACCCGAAATACAAGAATCGCATACGGAGCAGAATCTCGAATTTGAAGGATATGAAGAACCCTAATCTAAGGAGGACAGTGCTATGTGGGAGTGTAACCCCCGAGCGGATGGCTAAGATGAGCGCAGAGGTTCGTGAGCTGTTGGTGGCTTTATTTTAGAGATCCTGGAACTGGCACACACTCAGTAGCATAGTTATCCCAACACGGATTCTTCTTAAAGTTTTGCTTCCCTGTCGGTATAATATTATCCCGTGGTGCATATCAGTAAAATATATAAACAATGTACTTAAAGGCATCATAAATGACTCTTCTGTTTCTGTAGGAGATGGCCAGTGATGAGCTGAGAGAAATGAGAAAGAATTTGACCAAAGAGGCTGTGAGGGAACACCAGCTGTCCACCACTGGAGGAACTCAGACGGATCTATTCACCTGTGGAAAGTGCAAGGGGAAGTGCTGCACCTACACACAGGTATACCGATCGCCGATTGTGCTTCGTATTAGGACGTTATGGCTGATGGTAACATTAGTTTACGGGTGTGGTTGTAATCAATGTCACCATGGTGCTATTTACATGTTTTATATTGGTGTGACTGCATTGTCATCAAGTAACTTAAAGTTTGAGTTTTCCATGAATTCAGGTCAGTTTGGACAGCAGCCCTGCTTGTTCAGTTTGATATTGTAATGAATGGGTTGTGTGTGTTTTGTTTGTCATTTCCAGGTTCAAACGCGCAGCGCTGATGAGCCAATGACCACATTTGTCTTCTGCAATGATTGCGGTAATCGATGGAAGGTATGTTGTTTATTTAACGGGGGCTTCGTTGACTCAGTCGTGAAACCCGTCAGCTGACTGACTCGTTGTGTTTTATCGGTCGAGTTGTGTGTCCCCCCACACATTATACGAGCGTCAATATTGTTTAGTTGGCCAATTTGGTCCTTTTCTCTCCGTGCAGACTTCACCTGCACACCTTTATTATTAAAAAGTCCCACCTGTGCTCAACTCAATGCTATTTAGCCTTCAAACAGCCTGTTGATGCCTGAATGTTGTTGCAAATTGAAACAATGAATCGATTCATCAGTCGATTAAAGACAATGTATCTGCAACATAATTGATGATCAATTTACCTTTTTTTACGAATTTAATTAAGCATAATATTTGCTGCTTTTCTGTTTTATATGATATTTGTTAATTGATTATTTACGGGGTTTGGACTGTTAGTCAGTCCTATTTTTTAAAACATTTTATAGACTTAATTATTCATCAATTTAATTCAGAGAAGAATTCATAGATTAAACCACAATTTACATTAAACTCACAGACATTCTACATTTCTCATCTACTTGTTTTTGTTTAAATAAATAGATATGTTAAATGTTGATATTTACAGAAGTTGACATAATGCATCTATTAAGGGTTAATGCTGCGCTCTGTGTATACATTTACACCATAAATTTGACCACTGCAATTTCATTGCAAACACCAAGTGATGTTAGAGAGTAGGAAAATAAAATAAAGAAATTAAAAACCAACATAGGATTTCACCACAGTGGGTTTTAATTTAACAAAAAGAAAATACACGTCATATAAATGGGAGTGTTTGTTGACTTAGACTTTTTATTTCTCCCAGGTATTTATGTATGGCTTGATCATCAGTGTTTAATGGAAATATTACAGTATCTTGAGTGTTAATTTTATGTTTTTTTGTATTCTAGTTCTGCTGAATGTGCACTGCACTCCGACAAGTAGCAAAATTCCTGGACCAGGTGGTCTCTCTGCAACAGATTGGAGCTTTGTATTTTGTGGTACACAACACGCCATACAAAGATGCCACAGGTTACCGTTTGAATAAATATCCTGTTCATAGATTTGAGCTCATTGTCAGATCCCCGATGCCCTCCCCCCAAAATCTTTTACTATTGTTATTAGTTGTTTTTTGTCAAATGTCACATATATGCGGTCAATCTTGTCTCATTCTCTTTTATCTGCATTTTTTTATATGTAGTTTTAACACTTTTGACAATGTTGTTTTGCTTTTCCCTTACAACATTGCATTGTTTTATTTAATTCCCCAATAAAAATGTAATCCATTTGATTAAAAATAAGTGATTTTCATTAGGCTTCAGTCTCCTCTGGTTATGCGAGTCTTGAACATTATACTAATGCAATTACAGATCTGAAAGGAGTGTGTGTGCACGCGCGTGTGTGTGCACGCGCGTGTGTGTGTATGTGTGTGTGTGCATGTGTGTGTGTGTGTGTGTGTGTGTGTGTGTGTGTGTGTGTGTGTGTGTTATTGGTGGAATATTCATCACATCAAAGTGAATGCTGATGTGTGCATATTAATCTGTCTAGGGACAGGCTAATGTTATTGGCAGAACCATGGATGACACACAATTGTTCCCTTTCCTCTAGGTATATTTTTTTTAATGGCCAGGTGCAACCACTCCATGTTGACAAGCAGCTATGCTGCCTTACCCTCACACAAACTGAACCCAGATCAGTCGTACAAGATTAAGGCTGTTTAATCTTTTAACTTGAGGAACTAACTAATTTAAAACATTAAGATGTGTACAACATTTTTCTTTTTCTAATTCATGGTTATAAGCAATTTTCATAAGGACCCCAAACTGAACATTAGAGTTCAATGGTCACAACCCCAAAAAGTTGGGAACCACTACTGTAATGAACAGACACGTGTTTGCCTTCTTTCTTAGTATTTACGTTGATTGCTGATTGATTGAGCGATCCTTTACCGCTACATATCATTAGATAAGTGTCGTTTGGCTAACATGTCATGTAATAACTATATTATTACATACACATGAAGCTCAAGCGTGCAACATGCCGTATGTGTTTCACTGTAGTTCTTGTGTATCGTTTAATCGTGACACAAAGCTTCTTACTAAATTGCAACTATTTCAATGGATATTTAAATACATTAACCCATCTCAGCTCATGAACAATATGAATTATAGTGATTTTCTTTATCTAGATTTACCTGATCTGCTTGTTTGATGGAGAAAGCCCCAAATATTTTAGGGCAAACATCGTTTACTGAACAACACACACATGCACAATGATGGAGTAATTTTGCTAATGTTACCTGCAAATCAATATATGTATCTGCTGATATATTCAAATCCTTTAATACTTGCCACGAGATTACGTGATCCAAGGCTCTCAACAGTATTTGGATTTGTTGTGATAGTACTTGATGGTTGTGTCGTGTGGTTTTGTGATCAAATCATGCTAGAGTCGCTAAAATTATTGTGCTTTATTTTATCTTAATCAAAATGCCCACAAGTCATTATTTTCTTGGAGAGTAGCAGAAAAAAAAAAAACGAAACCAAATACTGTAAACATTCACATTATTTGTTTTTTTTTTCTTAAATGTATTCTTCAGTAAACTCGACGCAAAATAACACATTTCATATAGTAAACAGAAGAAGAAACATGTATAGGCATCACTCCAAACCATTGGCTTAGATTGTGTTTTGAGGTTGATCTGCTCGGTGTAACCATCAGCTCAAATTGCACATAGTAAGTTTAAGTTATTCTAAGACAAGTAGAAGTGCCACCGTGAAGAACATGGGATGGCGAGAAGTTCAGATCAAACGGCCCTATCCATTGATCTCTTTTGTCTTCAGCAAATAAAGACGTGTTGTCATCAACCTCCGCCATAGTGTTTGGTAGCTCTACCAAAATGGACCAGTGTAGTCACGACTAAGGAATCAAGACAAAACATGTGATAATTTGGCCAAAGAGAGGGACAATTACCAGTAACCTGGCCTAATGCTCCAGTAACAACTCTTACGGCATGAGTCTGAAAACAACTGTTGCCCATGAGAAAGATGTCATAAAATTGAATGTCAAGGCACTTCCCCATGTGAGGATCTTGTCTTTGAGTGACATGTTTGTGAGGCAACAAAGTAATTCAACTATTAAAGTACATTAACGTATTTGATACTTGGCAACTCCAATTTCAGTCAATGGAAACGCTCTCGTTAAATGTATCAACACAGTTTACATGGTAGCTTTGGTGTTGCTGCTGACCTGGCCGGACCCCAGCGTCAGTTTCAATCACAAGTCACTTCCATATTGCAGGTGAGGTTTTAAAGTCAAAATCCTGCACGGTGATACACAGATGACTCCACCAGCTGTCGAAAAAATGTAACCCTCACACACTTTAATTTACTCATCTGCAATTTATGAATTTCCTACATAGTTAATATGTATTTAGGTTCTAGTTATTGGTAAAATCAAGAAGGTTGATACACTTCCAGTTCATTAACTCCAAACAATAGTCTGATAAATGTGATTTTTTGTTTAACATTTCTCTCTCTGCAAACGAACCAGTTGACAGAAATGTAGAATTAAAGCAGATATTTGTGGGAAATACATTTACTTGCTTTTGTTGGATTGGAAAATCCATACCACTCTCAGATCTGTATGTTAAATTTGAAGCTACAGCTAGCAACCGGTTAGCTTAGCATAGCATAAAGACTGGAAAAGGGAGAAACAGCTAGCTAGGATATAACAAATGAGATATGTTCGAGCTTCAGAGTTGCTAAAAGGCAGATTTAGTTACCTTTGGACATAGAGGATAGCGGATTCCCCGTTTCCAGTCTTTGTGCTAAGCTAGGCTAAGCTAACCATCCTCTGGTTGTAGCTTTACATTTAGCAAACATATATGAAAGAAGTAAAAATGAATTGGGTTTAAATGTGGCAATTCCTTCAAGAAACCACCCAAACATTAGTACCAAGTTCCAGAAATTATTAGGAAATTACCAACCCATGGAATGAACCCACATTTCTACATTTTATGACAGTGACCTCACAGTATAGTTGATTCCACGATAGAACTTAAATATAATTTGAACTTGTTGGTTTTGTGTATTGGCAATAGATATCAATAAATAAAAAATACTTTATCTGGTAAATAGAATAACTTAGGTTCTTATGTCCCACTGGTAAAACTATATTAGAGGTGTGCATTGAGTAACACTTCAATAAAAAAATCTATCTTAAATAGGCAATCTTCTGTGGTTAAGACTGAGTATAGAAAGTAACAATACCCTTCCATAGTTGATTTGTGGTTCTCATGGAAACAAATTGCACACCGTGATTAGAGCCATTGTCACTTTCTGTAACTTCACAGATAACCACACTTTTTCAATCCCACACAGTTTTTACACGAACTGGAGTTGCCAAGTCGATGTCACAGGTACCAAAGTGTGAGGTTAGATAACAAAACAGGGTAAAACCAAGGTAAAATCATATAGTACCCCACAAAGCTGCCTGCAAGTAGAGCTAACACCTAGCCTTTGACTTGAGCTTTGATTTTCATACGCAGTGAATAGAACCAGGCGTTTCTACATAAAATACCCACAATTCCATTTTTACTATTTACAAACTCATAAATATATATATATATATTTATATATATATATACGTATATATATAGTCTACAGTCGGAATTATTTCCCCCCCAAACAATCATACAAAAAACAACAGACCATAAAAAACTCTGAACACAAATAAAATAGATTATTTCTATCAAAAGAAAGAAAAATAAAACAGAAACAAAATGTATTCATATTCCTTTGGAGTGTTTTGCTATGTTGATCTGTAGCAGTACTTGTGATGTCGAGCCCTCGGGAGTTTTGAGACCTGAGTGTCTTCGGTCAGGTGCAGATCACAATAGCGCTGAAATCCCTGGGAGGGGCCAGGCCCGAGGCCAGGTTCATGTAATCCTACACTGAACATACAAAGAAAATTTTAAAAAAGGGAATAAGGATTGGGGGGGGGATAAAGACAGTTAAAATATCACAGGTCATCACCACCCTAAGATTCGGGGGACTGCTCTGACAGAGTGTTGAGCAGGTTTTTGTAGGCTTGGGAGTTCATGTAGCGGGGATATGAGTCTCTTTGCATCAGTGTGTAGATCTGCAGCTGGGCATCTTCGAACGTCTGCAAGTTGGGTTCCTGCATGTTCCTGTTGATTGACTCACGCACACGGGAGTCAAGGCTCACCTGGGAGTCAAGAACGGGTTGGAATTAGGAAGAGCAGCATGTGCACATTCTCAATGAAAAACTGTCAATGAAGGACATTTGACCTTTTGAGAAATAAGCTTATTTGCTTTCTTAATGAGAGTTAGATGACAAAATTGATACCACTCTCATGTCTGAAGTAATTATGAGTCAGTCGGTTAGCTTAGCTTAGCACAGAGAGAGGAAATGGAGGAAACAGCTTGTGGATTTTGTTACTTTTGGACAGAGCCAGGCTAGCTTTTCCCCTCTGTTTCCAGTCATTTTGCTAAGCTAAGCTAACCAACTGTATATTTACACAGACATGATGGTCTCAATAGAGACGGAGCGCAACGCCTCATACTGTGAAAACGACGCCCACCGGATGGGAAAACAATCACGACCACAATATGCAACATGCTAACAAATTGCTTGTAGCTAGCTAAAAACATCAGGCTTAAAGGATTTTTTTTAGCACCCTATATCTACCAAGGGTGCAGTTCATAACTAAAATGATGATGGGATAGGACAAGTTAGCTGTTAGCTAATGTTAGCAAGTTACTGTTTATTAGCTCAGGCACGTGCAAACATAATACTGCATAGCTTTCTGATGTAACATTATAAACATTCTACTTTAACTCAGTTTGAATGCTGTCAAAGTGATTTAGCGTAACTTACAGAAATATATTAAGCCTTAAACTGACATTTGGACAAAATGCTTGCTGCACGTAAGCCTACTGGGTTTAAGGATCCCCTCAGTTTTACTATTCTGCCGATGCCTCACGTCTTATTGCCTGTATCCTCAGTTTTTCTTTGCGGCAGCTTATAAAAACGTAGTTCTGGGCTCTTTACCCTGTTGGTAGTGCACCACACAGCCGCTTTGAGGCATTTTTCTGTTGTTTGCAAGCAGATGAAAGTCACAAGGAGTCACCCTCACACAATACAAAGCCACTGGTTTTCCCCTTCGGTGTGGGCAGGACTTAATTGCACTCTATCTCTATCTTCAAAATGTTCCCAAAATGTCAAACTACTCCTTTAAAGGCAGGGAGAATGAGGACATTGACGAATGATGAACATTTGTCACATATCACGAAGTTTCACCCTTGAAATCAACACATTTCTAATAACAGTGAAACCAAGAGCTGTCAGACCTCTTTGGGCGAGAGAATGGAAATGTAGTCCTCATAGATGACACGAGCCCTCTCCTCTACTGGAGTCTTATTGGCGTCTTTGATGAACTCCTCACAGGCTAACCAGAAGAGCATGTTCTCCTCGCTGAACTCGGTGCGAAGAAATTGCCGGAAGGAGTTCCTCCCCGCTGGGCAACACATTAGCTTGTCAAACGACTGCCCCCACGAGCACACCTCCTCCAGCGTGGGCTTCGGGCTGCAGAGAGCGTGGACAACATGGGGGTGAGTGATTTCAACATTTACTTCCACAAATATGCTTAGTAGATTTGGCATTTTTGTGCAGGGAAATCAGCTGACCAGTCTTCACAGTCTGCGGTCCCTTCCTTGACGTCATGAGAAGCCTTTCGGTTCCTTTCATCCCGGTCTTCATTCCTGTTAGTGAGATAGACAGATTATGACCTGCACCGAAGAAATTATTCATGTGATACATATTATTTCATCTTAGTGTACAACTAATTTGATAATCGATAAATGGTCTCAGTCATTTTTTAATCATGTATACCAAAACGCTGCTGGTTTCAGATTCTCAAATCTAAATATTTGCTTGCTGTCTTTGATATTCAATTTAATATCTTCGTGTTTTAGACTGTTGAGGACATAACCTTGGGTCTGGGAAATTGCAATAGACAATTTTTCACAATTAGTCGATTAATCGAGAAAATGATCTGCAGATTATTCAACAATGAATATGCTCAGCAGATAAATATTCAGATGATATATACAGCAAATACTAATTATATGTTTGCACATATTTGTTTAGCATATTATATTTGTTTAGCTGTGTGTCTGTATCTGCGATGTCTTGTGTCGGATTTGGTTTGATTTCATCCGCACTAAGTTTACTGAACTGCAGATATTTCAGGAGCTCCCATTTCCCACATTGTCAGCCGATAACTAACTGCTGTTTACATAAGGCTGCTGCAGGGTAAGTGTCTACAGATCACACGCAACAAGTATCAAGAACATAAGACACAGTAGCTCAGGCTGTGCTGTCCTGTGCACAGTAACGTCGGCCATGCTGCGCCACAACAAGCAAGTTCTCGGGTGGGGAAGACCTACCAAGAGCAGCTACAGCAGCAGCACCAGCAGAAGCAACATGCATTTGAGCCCCGTGGGTTGGCCTGGCCCGGCTGGTCCTGCTGGGCCGGTGCAGTTCCCCCCGCTGCCGACTCCTGCTGCACCGACATCTGCCTCTTTCGCATCTCCATCCGCTCTGATCCCATGGGCTACAAACAGGGGAGAGGCGCTGAGTTTAATGTTTTAGATGTCAGGATTTGTATTTAACTGAGATTTTTATCTTGTGGTAAGAACATCTCTTGACCTGCAATGGATTTGTATCATACAATTCAGTGCCAGTGCAATACAGATGGCAAGGCCAACATTGTAATGAGACCAATGACCAGTGTGACATCCTGACAGTGTCAGTCCATTTTACCAGCACTTTGATCACTTTTACCAGGTAAATTTGATTTATTTAATTTACCACTCACCAGTTGTCACCTATGTATGTGTTACTGTATGTGTGCTGCTGATGCTCTCTGGCAGGAGCATGTGCTGGCATGCCCAGAGGTCACACTGTTTGGAATGCTTTTTGCTCCATTCAGGGGGAAAGTATGGAAGAAGTATTGGCACCCACCAAGCACATTTCAGCCCCTGTCGTCTCAAAAGGACTGTATGTGCCCTTATACACGCCAACTGCACGTGTAAAAGGGATGGATTGTTAAACAGGGGCTCAATGCTCATAATCGCAAATTTGAAACATCCCATTTGTGAATGCCTGAGTGTAAAAGCAGTGCATTAAAGGATTTGCAATGCTCACTGGGCTCAAGCGGAGCAATGAATTAAACACACGTGAAAATAATGTAAATATTTGTCTTAGATTCATACTTGTCAGGTGTCACTTTGCCATGCACCCAAAGGCTATCATGTTCATGGGAAATTACTGTGGTAAAATGTAAAATTGTGTATAGCTGTGACTTGAGTGTATTCAACAGAATCTCTTTTAAGGTTTGTATAGGCCTACAGATACAGACAGGCTATTCTCACAGAATGAGTTCTTGTCTGGTTTTAACAAATGTGTCATCACCAGGTCAGAAGCTGCCAAATCCTGTCAGATCATTTATGTAACAAAGCTGTCGCTTCTAACACACACGGCAGCATCCAGCTACTACCTGACACAAGAAACGATGCTTCAAAAAAAAAAAAAAAAATGTCAGGAGATTTGGTACATGGGAAGGGGGCGGCGAAGGCGCAGCTTGCAAATCTATAACCGCAGCATCGCTCTATCACAGCCTTTCAGTGCATACAATGCCATTTGGCCATTTCTAAAATGGATCCGCGCGCGGTTTCACTAAGATTCAGAGCAGGCTTCAGCTGCATATTTGGTGCGTCTTGCCAAATGGCATATTTTACGCGTCGGGTGTCGGGTACTTCAAAGCTGACACAATCGCAATACACGCTATGGCTTGACGATGAAATGGGGGGGGGGGTGGTCGTATCCATTCAGAGGATAAATCATGATAACACCAAATAAACCGCTGTTCTCATTCAATCTTACCGTAGCAGAAATGTGAACGACACTGGGATGTAATGGCTCCTGAGCGATTTTATCAGCAGAAACCATTGCATTAGCAACTCGCACAGCACATCAATGGAAAGTGCCACCACGAAGAACCGTAGAGCTTCTTCGCCCTGGACGACCACCAAAAAGACACTGCCTAGATCTGTTATAAGCCCACTGTACAGCAAGACAGTAACATGCCATTTAAAATACTGGGAAACGGCCTCAAATACTCCACTTGCGAAATGTCCGTGCAATGATACATCGGTTTGCCACCAGTACTTACAATTTCACCATGTATGCACAGCGAGAAGAGGTAATTCTTTGCCTTGATTACATCCGATGGCACATAAGGCTTTTTTTCCCTACCGGCTGCTCCAAGTCAGTACGCATGCGTCTCCTCTCCAGCTCGTAGTAGCCCAGTGGAGAGCGTAAACCCCGACAGTATGGCACAGGTTTTTACAGTACAGGTCCTTTACCCTGCCTGGTACGCGATAGATTCTAGGAACGGGCTAGTCAAGCAATGGAGGCTGCATGATGTCAGTTTATAATAAATAGAAAGGACTGAAATAAAAGCCTACAAACTAACTCACTAGGCAGCATAAACTTCCCTTGTGCTCTTGTTACATTAAAGCCATTTACAAAATCCAAAATATCCAGAAATATAGCGCGCCCCCCCCCGCGCCAGTGAGTCTTTGCCTGAAGTCGCTGTCTATGGTGCTGAAACAGCCAGAAGCTGATAGACTGCAGCATTTCTTTTAACTAAACCTCCCTGAAGGATAGTATGACTTTGACAGCCAGCGTTACATCATTTGGGAAGTTTAGGCTTACATTTCTACTGTGAGTTAAGTGTTTACACATTCCTGGCTGATCCACGCATCGAGTGCACCAAACTGTTTTGTCTTGTTTTTATTTTGTAAACACTGCGTGACTTTTAATCCTCTTGTCACATATACTCTCATACTGCATAATCACACCCACACTCATACACACAAACTCTCAGTCAATGCATACACAGTCATGCACAATACACACAAACACACACACACACACACACACACACACACACACACACACACACATAGATACATACTGTATATGCATTCACACAGTCTTCTTTTTTATCTGTTTTGTAGTTTTTTATCCTGAATCTGTAGCAGCATATATTTGTTTTAACCTGAATTAAATAGACTACGCAGGAACAGCAGCTGCAGTTTAGTTCAAAGTGAACAGACATTACATGTGTTGCATTGCTTCTCTCTCTGCAACAATGTTTATCTGTACTGTCCCTGTTAAATGCACAGGTTGCCATTACTCCCATGGCAAGGTGTAAGTTGCATTTAAGCAGTCAGTAATTTAGTCTAACCCATTTACAGATGACTACCAGGCTCCTCCGTCCCTTGTAATCTACAGTACAGGTCTGATGTAGAAGACAACACTGCCATCTGAAGGTAGCTCGAACTGCAGCACTGACATGATGTTCTGCATGTGCACTGACTGACTCATAGATTCTCGATGGTCGTATGAATTAGTGAAAGGCACGGCTTCGTTTGCAAGATATGATCTCTTTGATAAGATCCCTAATATTTGACATGCTTGTATGAGTATTAAACTGCGACAGTTCAATATCTATTCGATGCCGACTCAAGCTGGAGATAGTGGGATGTAGATTTTCACACATATCTTTCAATGCAATATGCCTTTATTAATGTATAGGTGCACATCATGTTTTGCTTTGTACAGACACCAGATGGCACTCTGCCTATTCTGCAAATGTGTAATATAACATACTGTATTTTATCTAATTATCTATTTAATTTACACCAATACATTTTTGCTGTCTGGGTCACATTTTTAGTGAAGATTCTCTTTGCCATGGAAATGAATGTCATCCGCCCCACATATTGTAATGTGAAGTGCTGCAAGATATGAGCGCCTGTAATACAAAACTGAGAGAACTGATCCCACAGTATCCGCACAGACCTGGTGCTGGTCCATGATACTGCCTATTGAACCACTTAAGGATTAGGCATTCATCTGTTTGGTTATCTTGTCCAAAATAAAAAGGGAAAGAAGGGATTTCTTTCCTGTACAGATGAATTACTGTACTGAACTGGGGCATGCCCTTAGCATCCACACATGGTTGTTACCCTCCAGAGATATGAACAAATGGCTTTCTCCACAACACTTAATTTAACACCTTCCCATGTGCTCATGTTATGCAACACAGACCCGCAAATAGCCATGAGAGATTGATATACACACACATGCGCGCGAGCAACGAAAGATGCTTTACGCTGTTGTGATTTGGACGAACACGCAGACTTTTCCCTCTGAGAGCACAATGCCAAGTGGAGGAGGGAGTCTGAATGCACAAGGTCACACGGAGGAGTAGGACGCCAAAGCTGGGGAATAAAGTCTTTTCACTGTGTGATTAAGATGATTCAAAGCATTGCGAAGCTTTGAGGAAAGTAGAATTAACTGTAAACTCGATCACTGGAGCTCAACATGCAGATATGCACCGGAGATGAAGTGTTGTTACCACCTCGAGGGATAATGCGCGGCATCGGTGAGCATTTTGAAGGTGAAGATATGTCACGTAATCCCAGCGACAACGATGGCAACAACTCTTCATTTGATTTCTATTTCTTGTTAACATTATTCATCTAATGAATTTCCCCCAGGTGTGTTCATCAAGTTGTTTTTTCCACTGTTAATGTCAGGCTCAATTTAATAAAACGCAATCGGTGTCTTAATCCTTGTAACCAAGTTACACAGTCATCTGTTCTTTTGTTTTTTACTTTAACATCACATTATCAACCTTACTCTAGGCGGTCCTTCTCCATACAAACTGATTGTCCACATTACCACCATCAGTTAGGGGTAAACACGATTCTATTGGGCTCATTTAAAGACATTTTAGAGCCTTGCAGGAGAAAACATTGTTGTAGCTTTGCACACAGAGTACATTGTTGTGATTCTATCTGGCCTTCTTCTTGAAAGTCATCATTATGAATGCTGCAGTAATTGATTGTTATTGAACTGCTATTTGAGAAAAAGAAAAATACGTTAAACACAGATGACACCACCAATCGACAAATACTTAGTGGATGTACAATAGTGCAAATAGCTGAGTTTAAAATGCTATCACTGACCTTATATCAAGTCACTGTGCACACTGACAATACGGCGCTCTGCTTATTTGAAATATGCAGGAGCTCTTGAGATAATCGACAGTCACCAAGTGGAGAGAAACCTCTCTTTGCTCAACTGACAAATACTCTGAATGTTAAGAGACATGATCTTTATCAGGACATGCAGTTGTAAGTTCTGTCATTGTAATTGACTCTATAAAGACGAATGAACCGCATCATAAAGGTCATGAAATTACAGTTGGAGCATAATAGATAGATAGATAGATATCTATCAAATTTAATGGGAGTCATTAATTGCACAGTTGACTTTCATTACTGCCATTAAATGGTCTCTAAATACAACCTCTTACAAAGATAAAGTATGGATAAATGTATATCTGTGGTATACAATATATGGAAATAGGTATAGGCCTAATAGTGCAAGTAAGTACATTTGTGAACTGACTGCATGGCCAATCACATCCCTCTTCAAATGAAAACTTGATGTGCATGATTATCAATAGGAAAGACGAGCGCTTTTTGTGACATATTGTAGATTCTGTATGTGTGGTAATCAATGAAATACATGATTTAGTGTTACCTAAGTTGTTATAAGATAAAGATCCTGGTAGCCCAAGCAGACATTTTGACTTGTCATCGCAGGAAAAAGTGTAAACACGGTGGCTCTTAATCCGCGACATTAAGAATGTTGTGGTTCTAGAGAGAGCCGTGCGGATTTAGAATGCTAAATCTGTGTCTTTTCATTCACTTTCGGTTGAGTTCCATATTCTTTTATAGCTGTTGTATTTCGGTCATGGTGCTAAATATTGTGACTGTAATTCAACAAGCTCCAGTTTTGCTCTCAGACACCTGGCCAGGAAAAAAAGTTTGTGTAATGCTTATGTGATGATCTGAACTGACTCCTCTGTCCTCCCACTCTGTTGTGGGAGCAGTTTCTGCGGTTGCTCCTTTGCAATCCTCCCCTCTGTGAATATAAACATAGTCATCTTCACCACAGAAAGCTATCGCAAATCCTTATTTATCCATTTACCAAGAGTGATTCTGCTGCCAAGCAAAATCAAATTGTAAGACTATTGTTAGAGATGACTCAATGTATTCTCAACTCACTAATGAATTGGGATGTTAATTCAGGCTGTCATGTAGTGTGTCTGTGTGACTGTCTGTGTGACTGACTGCACAACTTAATTTAGATTTCCAATGACTGGTACCACACTATTTCAAGACACACTATCTTCTTTTAATCTTCTTAGGCCTCCTTCAGACAGGAGCTGCTATCCTAAATAGAAGTTTGGCAAGAAGCAAAATAAGCTGCTGATGCTCAGAAAACAGTAATTTAGTTACAATAACAACAACAAACAAAAACACAACAGTGTTAAAGATGTATCATTTACTGCAGGTGATTAACAATAACAAACATATAATATAATTTGATAGATATCAGGACATTCATTGCTACTCTGAACCTCACAAGTTTATTAGGCTATTATTTATTGTTTGGAGAGAATACTTCAGCGACAGACTTATGTTATTTTGGTATTTGTGGCTGCTTGTTACTGCAACAACTATCAAGAAACATACTGATTTGTGACTCAAAACTGAAATATGCATTCAAAGAGCAACAGTAATGTACAGCTAGTTTTACATGACTGGTTGGTGACTCTTCACTGTATTGACTCTAAAATAAAAATAATAATAATAATCAAAAACAAAAACAGTCATGCTTATTATGGGGCCAAAAACTAAAACATGCCCTTACCTCAAGGCACACCATCTCCTGTTCGTCCGGGGCCGGGTCATTGTAGTTCACTGGGTATCCCACACCATACCGGCAGGCCCGGACCAGTCCCCGGATCCGCTGCCACATCAGGGCCTTGGTGTGTCTGATCCCCCGCAGAGCAGACGTGGGCCTGATCTCCCACTGCCTCACCGCTCTAGCACATGTCATGCTCCAACCATGAGGCCTCACTCGCCACATGAGGCTCGAGTCTCTTAGGCATCGTAACAAATCCACGCTTCTTGCTCCTTTCCTCTATGTTTTTTCGGCATCTGCTCTGA